TTGCTGTACATTGTTAATAATACTTTTAATATCCAAAATAAGTGATTAGTCACTGCTAATTAGATATTAAATATCTAGTGAAAAACGAATGTTATATTGTATCTTGATATTGTGTTTGATTACTCACCGTAATAAAAAAAGTAAAAAATCTCTAAATCTGGATAAATGCGAGAAAACAAATCGATCAATCACAAGTACGATCACATTTAAATCCGCTCTCGCCGGATTTAGTACTCGTCTCCTGGCTCGCAGAGACCTGGCAAAATATTTTGCAACCTGTTGATGAATCTGTAAACTCTTCTTACAACACACGATGGCGCACCTTACGCCTTCACAATGTGAATATTCTCCGTCAGATTCCTGATAAGTTTCGTACAGGACTTATTTTTGTACGTAACTCACGAGGAACAAACGAGGAACAATGTTTCTTATCATTAAATTATCTCTTTAAGATATCTACAAGTATTCCCTTATATTGATCATTTTGTTGTTGGTATTTCCGATAAATCTCCTCGGCTTCACCATATGGCTGCTCGTCCATCGAATCTGTAACGTGGAAAAAACAGCACTTGTCAGATATCTATGTCGTAATATCTATTATTATATTCACCCATATTGAGCTGGAATTCTTACTGTCGCCAATCAAGTTCTATTTACTTCAATTTATGTGCTAATTTGTTGCTCTATTCCCAATCTTATTACACACATCATTTAATCGCGTTTTAGATGGGTGAAAACTAGTTTACTGCTCTTTAATTAAAAAAGAGGTATACAGTAATTGATTCGAAAAATTAAGTACGCCAGATTTTTTATTTTATTTCTCTAATTTAACAATAATATAATTCAGAATATCATAGCATCTCGAAACTTTGATTTTAGTGGCTCTGGAATCAGAAATCTTGAGAATATAACAACAAATCTGCATACAATCGATTTTATACTAAATATAATTGATTGATGACTGTAAAAAATCCTACATGGGTTATTATATTAATACATATATTATACTTTCAACTTTTATGGAAATTGAAATATTAATATAATAAGGAAATAAACATATAGGAAGTTCAAATATTTATATAAAAACTGGAGAGTGATGCAACTTCATTCAGATCGTTCACGTAAATAGAAGATCACACAAATCTAGAAACGTCGCAAATAAATTATTTTGGAACTGGACTGAACACTCTCAGTATAATTTTTTTCACAGTGGTGCCTACAGAAAATATTACTTTTCTTTGTCGCAGTACGTGTCTTTTCTCTTATTTTATATTGTTATACTATTCCGCTATTCGTATTTTATATTGTTACAAAAATAAAAATATTATCATAAGAACTAATCCTCAATTATTTTATTTCTTTACATGTCCGTATATGAAGAATTGACCTTTCAAAGTCTAAAAAGCTTTATATGTGCCAATATCTTTTCCAACCAATATTTATTTTTTAACGTTACTGAATATACGTTATGGTCTCCGAGTTTGCCAGCTGCTCTTTTCTCTACTTTAATTAATTTATATGCTTCTTACGTGCAGTCTGCCACCGAAATAATATAATTTAGGACAGATCCCGCTAAATAGAAAAATAAATAATTCTTTTTATCGTTAACGAAAAGAAAATAAAACGTACGCGTCGACATTCTATCTTAATTCTCCTAATTATCCTTAATTTCTAATACCACCAGGAGTGACGTGATCCGTTTAAGAGCCCGCGGCAAGTCTCTCTCGTCTCATGATTAATTTATGTAGTTTCTTACGGCGCTTAAAGCCCTGTAGCGCGATCAATAAGGAACGAGCAGACGATGCAGCTGTAGCAGGTACGTGCAACACCGTTATATATAGCGGTCGATTTATACCATAATGGTAGCGACATTCTCGCGATTCTTTTGTCGGATTTAATTCTTTCTATATAATCACGATAATGAGACCAGAAAGGTACGCGCATGCCGAGTCCCCTTATACTCCTTCGTGAGTCATACACGATCGATTACGACAAAACGTGTGCACTTAATCATTGGAAAAAAAGAAAGAGTCACCGTTCCGTTAGGTGGCAATTGCGATACGAAAAGGAGAAAAAATCATTAGCCGCGCTTGATTCGTTTTGCAGAAAAAAAAGCAACGTGATCCTGTGGATCTAAATCGTACGAATTCAAATCATTATGAATACGGCGAATCGCTTTCGGAAAACGAACGATAATGTGAAGGGCGCGATCGGAATAATGGCGATCACGTGGAAAACGATTGCGCGTAATTGGATAATGTACAGTTAACGAAATTAGGAATATTCCGTGCGAAACGATACTCACACTCATCGGGCACGGGCTATGTTTCCACGCTAACGAATAATAGCTTTAACGGCCTTTCAAACCGATGAGAGCGATATCCATCCGTTGGTAAATTTAACTGAAAGAAGAAAAGATTGTACTACGATTAATGAAAGAAGATGCGTTATGACGACAGATATATATATA